TTTTTATTCGTTATTAGCTACTTGTAAGTCTTCTATCATAGAACTGAACAATTTCGAGATAATAAAAATTTCTCGGTCGTGCGTGAAACGAAATTTTGAAAGATTTTAATACAAAGTGAGTTTTTAGGAGTGACCTAGTTGAATATTTACTCTCGAAACTAAGTTATTACTGCATCTCCGAGTTAAGATCCACGCTGTAAACAACAGATCCCCAGATGTGTGGTCTCGGGACCGGAAGTGGCGAAGCAGAGGAACTCGATATGTATCACCCTTGAGAGCGAGGGATTAAAATATGCCATCACGAAATTTGCGGCGCATTAAGGAACCAGTCCTCCTTTAAGATGAAATTTTCTGCCTTAGAGATTGTTTTAAGCGAACGCGTTGAAAATCGCGTATTGGAAAACAAAAGTATGCTTCTACTATCGGTATAAATATATCTGATGTAAACATATCTGACGCTTGTAAGAAATCACTACTTTCGCGAGCAAATGTTTAATGAAAACAACGTGCAATGAATATTCAATTTTAAAATCACTCATTTCGAAATTCAATCTTCTCTTCCTTGAATCGAAGTTAGAAGATGAATTCCAGAGGAAAATAAGAATCGACAAGTAAAAGGACAACAAGGTAAATTAAACGGGTACTGATAATAACGACTTGAAGAGAAAAGAAACGAAAAAAAGAAAAAAAACATAGTCTCGCGCCATAAAAGGTGGCCGGTTCATCCATGTGCATCGCGACGGAGAAGTTAGTGTGGCGGTGTGGCAACGTATCCCCGAGAAGAGGTCATGTGCCCGATGACGACTATTCGCGATCCTGAAAGTCACGGTGCAATTAAGGGAGGATTTCGAGCAGCTTTAACAATTTACAGGGCGGACACGCGGCTGAAACAGCGGCGTTGCCTATTTTCGTACGAAGTGTTTGCTATCTGTCGTCGCATGAAACACCAGCGAACACGAGCAAGCGAGCAAGCGAGCAAACGAACGAACGAACGAACGAGCGAACAAGCGCGGTGCGCGCTCGTTGAAAGTGAAAGGAGGTTGAATCGCTTGCCCGTCCACTTCTACCTCTGAGCTGCTACCCAGGACTGCCGAGGGAGGAGGGCCACCCCTCTGCCCCCATCCCGCATTCATACACACACATACATAAACGCGCGAACCGTGTCGGATACCGTCCGACATCCCCCGCCATCTCCTAACCCTACTTGTTCCCTTCCCTCCACGCTGCCACTTCTCTCTTATCCCCCTCTGAACACCTCACGCCTCCCAGCCGATCCACATTGCCGCCTCCGCCACCCTGTGTGTATGCGACCGCTTACGCCTCCTCTCTTTTTCTCTTCTTTCTCTCGTCTCT